TCCTCTCCATGAAGCAGAACAGCCTGGAGGCCAGTGGGGACCAGCACCTTCCCCTGCTCCCCCAGACGGATGGAGAGACTGGACACCACCCAGGTCCGTCTGGCTTTGCCATGGGGTCCTTGGCGAGCCCTCGCCTCTCTGGGCTTCACCCCCACCTCCCAGCGTGTCACCTGTCAGAAAGTGTCACCCCCAAAGGAGCCCCCGGGGCGGTGGTGAGAAAGGGCCCCCTGGGCTGGGCGCTGGGGACGGAGACAGGCCACCTGCACGCGTGGACAGGCGGGCGTGTAAGCCGCGGCATGCTTGTTGGGGACAAGGGCCCAGACCCCGTGAGGCCCCGCTGGTCGCCAGCTTGGGGTCACGCGGACCCTCCTTTGGGGAGGGAGCCGGCAGCCGAGGTGCCTCCTGGGGTGGCCGTTGCTGCTGGGGGCCGCCCGCCCCGACGCCAGCCTCAGGGGCCAGCCCGGCAGACACCCGCCTTTAAAAATATTATTCACGGCGATTCCGGAGACTGTTTACGAGACGGAGCCGAGACAGGCGCGAGGAATAGCCCCAAGTCCCTGAAAAAGCATCCTTCAGGGGAAGAAAGAGCCCCAAACAGCAAACAAAACGCTCTCAGATCGCGGGTGTAAATAGGTGGATATTACTACGGAAATATTTTTGGCTGCAGCGGCGCAGGCAGGAAGGCCGGGGCGGTTTTTTCCACGCTTGGCTCGGACCCGCCACTCCAAGCAGGTCGGCCACTGTCTCGGAGGGTGTCGCGCGGGACCATGTGCACCAAAGGGCCGAGCCGGAGGGGAGAGTGAGACCAGAAATAGCGACGTCCGCGCCTTTTCCAGCCGGAGCCCTGGTGCCTGGGCCCCGCCCTCTGGGACTCCCAGGCCGGGCTCCCCTCCTGAGCACCCCGCCCGCACCCCCCAGCGGCAACCCCCCCCCCACCCGCCACCCCCGCAGGTGAGGGCGCCCCGCCGAGAGCAGGCGGCATCTGCAGCCGGGGCTGGACTGCTGCCAGGTCTGCGGCCTGGCCGCTCCTGTCCACGTGGTCTCTGGGAGAGGCCTGGCTGGGCGACGCCTTCCTCCGTCTGGTCTCCTGGGAACAGAGGGCCCCTCTCACACCCTGACAGCCCTGAGCCCTGGGCCTTCCCTGGGGGGAGCCCCGGTGGAAAACTGTGCATGTGGCTCCTTGTCTCCAGGCGCCAACCGTTCCCAGCAGTCTTGAGTTTTTTCCGTGGCAAAGGTGCTGTGGCGGGGGAGGGTGCCGTGGGGGGAGGGTGCTATGGGGGGGAGGTGCTGTGGGGGGGAGGGTGCCGTGGGGGGAGGGTGCTATGGGGGGGAGGTGCTGTGGGGGGGAGGGTGCCGTGGGGGGGAGGGTGCCGTGGGGGGTGGGTGCCATGGGGGGGAGGTGCCATGGGGGGGAGGGTGCCGTGGGGGGGAGGGTGCCGTGGGGGGAGGGGCCCAGGTGCGCTGCCCACTGGGGGGGTGGGTGACTGCAGGTCGTGAGCCCAGCCCTGCAGGCCTCCAGGACCGGTTTCCCACCAACGCCCTGCGTGCTCCGACCTGCTCGCCCCGCGGCCGCCCGCTGCTCCCTCACCCCGCTGGGTGCCTCCCACCTCCGGGCCCCTGCTCATGCCTGTCCTTCTGCCTGGGGCGCCCTCACCCCTGCCTCTGCCAGACGAAAACTCCCGCCTCCAAAACACAACGCGAGAACCGGCCTCGCCTGGGAGACGCGGGGTGTGGGGGTGTGGGGGTGTGGGGGGGTGGGGGTGTGGGGGCCCTGGCTGGCCGTGGCCTGGCTCGCCCCGCGCCACCCATAAGGCTTCCTGTCTGCCCATCACGCTCAACCTCAGGGAAAGGTCCTCGGGGGCGTGTCATCTCCCGTCTGGGCGGGGCTCCCGGAGGGCGATCTGTCATCTCCTAATGAGAGTAATAACAGTAAAGGTAACGACTCCCGTGTTATCTCTGTGAGTCACCCAGTGACTCAGGGACAAAGGCGTGGCTTTCCAGATGAGGAAACTGAGGCACAGGAAGGGGAGCGACCTGGTCAGCCAGGCGGCTGGTGAGCGGCAGAGCTGGGGTCCGGCCCCTGCTGTGCGTCTGGGACCCCACCGCCCCGAGTCCACAGCCCGAGCACAGGCCTGAGCAGAGGTTTGCTGAATGGAGTGGCCCACGACTTTGGAAAACAGGGGCCATTCATGTACCCTGCCCCCCGCCCGGAGCGTGAATGGGCCGTCCACACTTGGTGGCAGGCAGGCAGGCAGGCAGGCCTGCGCCACTGGTCCCCGGCTCACATCCTTTGATGGCCCAGAGCAGGGTTTCCCAACGTGGGGTACAGGGGGGCAATCTGACCTTTAAGAGGGCCAATTTGAGATTGAGGGGTAACAGTGAATTTTTTACATTTCTTATGGTTTTAGGGGCCTCATATACAGTATATCAATATATAGATACTAGAGGCCCGGTGCACAAAATTCATGCATGGGGCATGGGGGGGAGTCCCTCAACCTGGCCTGCACCCTCTCGCAATCTGGGACCCCTCAGGGGATGTCCAACTGCCGGTTTAGGCCCGGCAGTCAGTGGGATCGGGCCTAAACCGGCAGTTGGACATCCCTCTTGCAATCTGGGACCGCTGGCTTCCAACCACGTGCCTGCCTTCCTGATCACCCCTAACCGCCTCTTCCTTGGCCCCCCGCCTCTGTGTCTTTGTCCAGAAAGACGTCTGTAATGACGTCCGGAAGGTTGTTCAGCTGTCTGGTCTAATTAGCATATTACACTTTTATTATGAAAATACAAATAACGATATCGTGATATATTTATGCACGTCAGTTCTCTATCAGATGTTTTTGAAACTTGGCTATTTTGTCATAGCACTTCACATTATTATTTTTTAAAACAATTTCCTCGTGATTTCTCCCTCAGGACTTCAGCTGTCCTTTCGCTCTTTCATTTTTCTCTGTCATGGACACCACGTCCGTTGGAAGCTGGTTTAGACCAAGTTCATGGCCTTTTAGGCTTCCTCCACGTGGCGAGGAGTGCACTTTTTGAAAAATAAGAATTGTATGTCGTGGTTGGGGGGCATCACGATCTTAGAGAGGCTTAGGTGGGGCGTGGCCAGAAAAGGCTGGGAACCGCTGGTCCAGAGCTTCCCAGGACGGGCCCTGGGTTCAAATGCTGCTTATCCTCCCGGCCCTGTGAGGTGCCATCATGTCACCTCTCCCAGCCTCACTGCCCTCACCAGTCAGGTGGGCTGGTCGTACCCACTGCCCACCGGTTGTTGGGGTGACAAGCAAAGGACTGGGCACGCCAGGGGCGACGGAGACAGGCCGGAGGACGGGCCCGACCCACAGCGCCCCCCATCGGCGTCGGTGAGCCTAGGTTTGCTCCCTGTCAGCCCCGGCCCGCGCGATGCCTGCCCCCAGCCCCGGAGGGAGGACGCCGGGGTTGGAGCTAACCAGGCTGGGGCTGCAGGGAGCGGAGGGCACAGGACGAGGTGTGTGTGTGTGTGTTGGGGGTCAGGTGGGCAGAGGGCCCAGGAGGCAGCAAGGAGGAGGTTCAGGCAGAACCCAGGACAGGGCCGGCCTCAGCTGCGGCCAGGGGTGTGCTGGGGGAGGCTCCCCAGCCAGCGCTGCCCTCCCAGACCCCCAGGGGGCTCCTACCCCAAGGGAATGAGTGCTTCCCCCCTGGACAGGCCCCACCGGCCCCTGTGGGGTGCGGCTCCTGCTGTCCCGTGGAGGTGGGTCCTGTGACTCCCCCATTTCACAAGCCTGACTGGGGGTCCCGCGGGGCAGTGTGCACCAGGCCATAGGACCCCCGCGGGGCTGTGTTTGTCTCTGGGCAGCCGGGAGGGGGCCGTGCGTACTGCGTCATGGCCTCCCCCTCCATCAGCCCCCTGACCCCAGGGCCACCCTAGGTGCCTTAGGAAAACCCCTCTGCCCCCCAGAGCCTGGGTCAGCGCTGGGCAGGTAGGTCCAGGTGGCAGCAAACTTGTGGGGGCGGTGGGGGGAGCCCCTGTGGGGGCCAGCCTGGCGCGGCGCGCAGGGAGGTGCTCGGGGAGGCCCGGCCCGTGCAGGTAAGACACCCCCACCCCAGCTCCAGCCGCCCAAGTTGTCCGGGGCAGGCGGCTTCCTTTCATTTTCATACAGACAAATCCTGAATTTAACAGTCGGAGCAGAGGACTGCCCAGGCGTAAAAATAGCCACAGCCACAAAGCCAGTGCCCCGCGCTCGGCGGCCGCCCCAGCCCGGTGCCTTTGCAGAGGGGTCCCCGCGGTCGGGTCCCACGTGCCGCGGAAGCGTGAGCCCCCGCCGGTCCGTCCTGGGGGCTGGGGTCCCCTTTCCCACCGGCGTGAAAGTGAGGGGTGGACCGGGGGGCAGGGGGGAGGGCCCAGAAAAGAGCCTCCCGACCCCCAGCGAAGGAGGCGAGCCTGTGCCCCTGCCTCCGGGCTCGGCACCCCGGCCTCAGTTTCCCCACTGCGGCCGGGGCGGCGGTGCTGGGTCTGCGGGCAGCTTTGTGTGGCCGCGCAGACAATGGCCCGGCCGCGGCGAGCTCCCGGCCCCGCTCTCCTCCTCCTCCTCCTCCTCCTCCTCCGCCGCCGCCGCCGCCCTAGTGGCATTTTTTTTTTTTTTTTTTGGCAGCCGGGGAGGGAATTCTGCTCCCGCCCGCGCCCCGCCCCCGCTCGGCTCCCGGGAACCCCTGGCGGAGGCAAACTTGCAAGTTTGCATGGCGCTGGCTCGCTTGCAACTCGGCGGCCAGGCGGGCGGGCCGCGGGCGCGCGCGCGGGCGGGGGCGGCGGGGGGGCGCGCGCGGGCGGCGGGCGGGGCGGGAAGCCGGGCGGGGCGGCGGCGCTGCGCCGAGTTCGCGCCCGTCGCGGGCCCCCCGCCGCCCCCCCGCCGGCGCCGCAGCGGTCGGAGCGGGGCGCGGGCGCGCGCGGCGGGGGCGCGGGCGCGGGCGCGCGGCGGCGGCGCGCAGCGCAAGTAGTTTACATTGTTGGGCGACTTTTGCAACAACTCGCCGCGCCGCGGCCTCCGCGCGCCGCCGCCGCCCCGCCGCCGCCGGCTCCCGCCGCCCGGGCCCGGCCGGCCGCGCCGGGGGCCGCCGCGCTCGCCGCTGCCGCCGAGCCGCCGCCGACATGGACACCAAACATTTCCTGCCGCTCGGTGAGTGCTCGCGGGCCGGCGGGCGGCGGCGGGGGCGCGTGCTCGCCGCGCGCGGGGCGCCCCCCGCCCGGCCTCCGCGGAGTTGGGGCGCCGGGCCCGGGGCGGGGGGCCGGGCAACTTTTACCCGCGCGCCGGGCAGGGAGGGCGCGCGGGCGGCGGGCGCCGGGCCGCCCCGGGGTCGCGGAGCGGGAGGGCGGCGGGCCCGCGGGGCCGGGGGCTGCGGCTCGGCCGGGACGGCTTGTGCCCCCGGCCTGGCAGCGCCCGGCGGCCCGGTGCCCGGCTCCAGGCGGCGGCGCAGGGGCCGGGCCGGGCGGGAGGAGCAACTTGTGCGCTCGCCGCCTCCGGCGCCCTGGGATCGGGACGGCTTCCGCGCCTCGCCCGGCCGCCCGGTCCAGCAGGCCGCCGGCGGGGACGCCGGGACCCTCCGCCCCACAGCGGCCCGGCGCGGGGGGCCGGGAACGGCCAGCCGGGGAGTGCCCGGTCCCGGCGTGGGGGCCCCTCGCCCTGGGCACTCGGGGTGCCCCCCGGGCCTTCTCCGGGCTGGCCCTGCACTTGGAGGAGGACGCCCCGGCGGTGCGGAGGGTCAGCTCGCCTGTCCTCCTGCTGCCACCCCGCTCGGTGGCTTCCTGGCCACTGACCGCCCTCCAACTCCAGGCTGGGACCCTCCTGGGAGCAGGAGGGGGCAGAGCCAGGCGCCCCGAGCTGTTGCCTCCCCAGGTTTGGGGAGCCAGCGAGGGGAGGGGCGGGCAGGCGCTGGGAGACTTTATAAATGAGCACCGGGAAGGGTATTCATTCGGCGGTGGGGCCAGCAGCCAGGCTGTCAGGCTGGTGAAGGATTTGTCCTGAATGGAAATTAAAACAGCTGATTCTGAGTGAAACCCCACGGTCACCCCCCCCCCCATTGGCTCCTTCTCTGCAGCCTGGGGTGCAGTCTGGCCACTGGGCTGCTGGTCAGAACCTGGCGGCTGCAGGGCCCTTGGACACTGGGAGCTGCCCCAGGGTGACGGCCAAGGGTCTGAGCACGGGGCCCCACGGGGTCGGCTGCAGGCCACGGCGAGGGCTCCGCGTGTGTCAGATCCAAGACTCCCTCCCTGACTCTGTATGACGAGGACCTGGGCTCCCCCTCAGCCCCGGGGTCGGGTGGGCACGCGTGCCCATTTCACAGATGGGAAATCTGGCTGGGAAAGGTGGAGGCCGCAGGCTACAGACCCCCGTGTGGCAGGGGCGTGTGGAGCAGGGAAGAGAGCTGAGGTGTTTGTGACCTGCTGTCCCGCCTGGCGTGGGGCTGGCGGGCTCCCGTGTGGGCGACATCTCCTTTTCCCCATTAAAGCTTTGCATGCGCATGCACACACACACACACACACGCACACACACGTACACACACGCACACACAGAGCGAGGCTCTCCCAGAGGATCCTTTTGGGACAAGAAGGCTCAGCTCCATGGTGTCCTCCCACCCCCGCGTGGCAGGGCCCTGGGAACGGGGAGCGGGACAGGCCCCTGTCCCTGACGTCCTGGAGCTGGCGCAGGTGGGGCCCAGGTTGCAGGTGACGGTGCCAGCGTCCCCGTGAGGAGCAGAGGTCGTGCCTCGGAGCCACTGCCCAGGACCCTGGATGGATGCCCCCCACCGCCAGGAGGCTGCAGGCTTCTCCCAAGTCCGCCGTGGCTTCCGGCAGCCCACACACCCAGGCCTGAGCGGGGGACCTGGGCTGATGACATTTTATTTTTTCCTGAGCTTGTGACCAGCACTGAAGTCCAGAGGAGTTGAAGGTCCACTTAAGCGGCTGGCGGCCTGAGCCCTTGGTCAGCACGGCCCAACCCCTCCGGGGGGGCGGGGGGAGGCGGAGGCCTGCCCCTTGCCGCCCCTCCAGTTGTCTGGCCACTTTCAGGGCCTCGGGCCCAAGGGCTTCCTCCTCCCGGCGCCGTGGGGCTTGGTGGCTGCTGTGGGGCACTGGCCCTCACCCGCCCGGAGCCTCCCAGCTGCTGCCTGCGGAGCCATCTGGTGAGGGTAGGAATGAGCCCCCAGGTGCAGGCCTGGAGGCCGAGTGACCCTCCCCAGGCACCCCTGCTGGCTGCCCCTGCTGCCCAGGCCGGCCAGTGGCCCGCACCCTTCGGCGGGCGAGGCTGTGCTGCCATCAGCCTGGACAGTGGGGCTGGACGACAGCCTGGACCGGGTGTCTGGGATCTGGGACCACACCAGACCCTCTTGGCAGCTAGTGACCCCTTTGCCCGTGGAGGAGGGGTGGCCGTAGCAGAGCGGCAGACACACTGGCCACCCTCTCGGGGGCTCTTCGGGACCCGGGCGAGCTTGGAGTCCTGGTGAGGGGCTTCTGGTAACATCAGAGCCTTCGGGACCCAAAATAGAGCACGTTCCGGGGCCTCCCGAAATAACAGGGTCACATGACTCTCGGGAGGCCGGGCTGGCGTCCGCCTGCCCGGGCAGCTCTGCCTCGCCTGGGCACTGCCGACTGTTGGGGCGTTTGTTTTGGTGAACTCCAGAGGGGCCTCTGTTTGTTGACGGGGAAGCGTCAGGGTGAGAAAAACAGCTCTCAGATGTGGCCGGACTGTGGCCGTGGCCTTGCCGACTTGCATCCTTCCCCGGAGCTGGCTGTCGGCCTGGACCCAGCGTGCAGCCCCGACCCCCTCTGCCAGGACATGGGTGGGACCAGCCGGGGCCCCCAGGATGGGCCGGCGCCCTGAGCCAGGGTGAGGCGGCTCCACCAGCTCTTCCGGCTGCGCCTGTCCTTCAGGGCCTGTGGGAGGCGGCACCTCCTCCAGGAAGCCCTCTGCCTGCTCCGCCTGGGCACCCACCCCACCCCCTCTGGCTCTGGGGGCAGTTTCGGTTGGTGGTCTTCGTTTCCTCTCCTGGGAAAGGAGGCCTGGGGGCGGGTGGTTGTGGAATTACTGTGCGGGCTCAGGCTGGTGCCCTGGGGCGGCCCCCTGCCCGGGCAGGCTGAGTGTGCAGGCTGGGGCTGCGGCCCCAGGAGAGGGGCCCCCGGGGGAGTCTGGCAGGACGGACTGGAGCTCAAAGAAGGGGCCTGGGGGTGGCGGTGGGGGGATGCCTGCCAGAGCACTGGGAGCTGCCTGCAGGGTCTTACGTTTGTGGCTGTGTGGGCTCTTTCCACGGTGGGCGTGTCAGGGCCGAGGCCCTAGCTGCGCGCCACCGTCCTTCGGGGTAAGAGGGGTCCTTCCCTGCGGCGCCCGCAGCGGCAGCGGCGGCGGCTGGGCTCGGAGGACAGAGCAGAGTCCGCCCGCCCGCCCGCCCGCCCGCTGCCTCAGGCCAGGGCTCCGCAAGCCGGGACCTGCCCTCTTCCCTTCTCCGCGGCTCCCAGTGTGGGGTTCACAGCCGCCTCCTCTGGCCAGGCCTTGAGGTGCCCATTAGCTGGTCTATTTCCATGGGAACGGGCCATTGGCGAGGCCAGGGATGGGCAGGGGCCTCCAGCCTGACTGTCTGGACTGTGGGGCTGACATCTGTTTGGGGATCACCCTCCAGACCTTTGCCCCGATGTTTGTTAAGCAGGTCGATTTCAGGGATGCTGGGGAGGGGTGGGGAGAGGGCGTGCCTGTACCCCCCGCCCCCTCCCTTCCCTGCTTGCACCCCCTCACCCCCTCCCTTGCCTGACTGCACCCCCGCCCCGCCTTCCCTGCTTACAGCATTCACACCTGCAGCTCCAACCTTAACTTTTCCTCTCCTCCCCCACCCCCTCCCCTCCCCCCTCCCCCCTCCCATGCAGGCCCCGTGTCACTTGCTCCCCTACCCGCTGGCTCTGGAAGGATGTGGCCATCCCTTGGGGGGACCCCGGGAGCTATACCTTCCTGGGGCCAGGTCACCAGGGGTCCTCCCCTCTGTCCTTGCTGCCCTGTGTGTGGCCTCTCCGAGCCGCCCTGTCCATCTGTAACGTGGACGCACGTCTGGGCTCTTCCGGGGCCCGGGCAGCAGCGGGTTTACCCAGGGGCCTGTCTACCTCTGATCCTGCCTGGGCCGGGGCCGGGCCAGGGCCGGGCCAGGGCGGGGCCGGGCCTGAGTGTTGGACCAAAACAGAACCCCGAAGCAGGGTGATGGCTGGTGCCCCGGCGTGTGCGCAGCAGCTGCGGGAACAGGGCTGCCCGTGTCCTCCCCGCCGGGTCCCCGCACGGGCTCCCCGAGGCCCACAGGAGGCAGGGGGGACCGGGACCCGCGTGCACACCCACCCGAGCCTGGTGCGCCACTCAGAGCCGTCGTGCCCGGCGCCTCCCAGACGGGAAAATTGCGCCCTAGAGTTACAGAGCGATTGCCTGGCTTAGCAGCCGAACGCGCGTGAAATGGAGCAGAAAGCTTCGTGACCCGGGCCTGGCCGGTGCAGGGAATGTGCGGTGCGCACACGCAGGCAGGGCCTGGGTTGCAGGCTCGCACGTGCTCACACCCTCCCGCTCAGCCACCCTGCCTGCAGCTCCGTCCTGCACTGTTGTGTGTCCCTGAGACCCTATGTCCCCGTGTCTGTGTCCCTATGACCCCATGTCCTGTGACTCTGTGTCCCTGTGTCTGTGTTCCTATGACCCTGTGTCCCTGTGTCTGTTTGTCCCCGTGACTGTTGTCCCTGTGTCCGTGTGCCCTGTGTGAGGTGGCTGCTCGGGCCTGAGTCCCCGTGGAGATCTGGACGGGTCTCCCCGGCTCCTGCCGGTCCCGTTCCTGCCCCCCAGTTCGGGGCCGGCGCTGCCCCTTCGAGGTGCTGATGCTCCACCCGCCGCACCTGCTGGTGCCTGGGACTGGGCTCCAGGGCCTCGTGGAGGTTTCCTGGGGATGTGCCCCGTGAGCAGGTGGGGACGGAGCCCGTCCTGGCCTCTGTGCTGAGCCCGGGTCCCTGGGTGCTGCCTGCGTTTCTCAGCACATTGAGTTCCCCGTCTGGGGGCCCTGAGCGCCCGCTGAGCAGGGCCTGTCCGGGCGGGGTTGCTGCTCCCCAGCCCTGCCGACCCGCAGGCAGCACCCCCTGAAGCTGCCGCCCGCTGGGTCCCTGGGTCTC